GCCTCCCTGACCTCAATTCCATCCACCACAGGCTCATACACTCCCCTCCTGTTCTTCTGTGTCTTGTTACAGGTTCCAATACCTATGAAGATGCAGCTGCCTACATCCAAACACAGTTCGAAAGCAAAAACCGCTCACCCAACAAAGAAATTTATTGTCACATGACTTGTGCCACAGACACGAATAATATCCAGGTGGTATTCGACGCTGTCACCGACATCATCATTGCCAACAATCTCCGGGGCTGCGGCTTGTACTGACCTCTTGTCCTGTATAGCAACCTATTTGGTAATGATTCCAGCACTCACAGAACAGCTTGCGTACACACACACACACACACACACGCACACACACGCAACACTAACCAGTACAAGTTGGTAAATAAACTTTAAAGAGGCATAACAAAACCTTATCTATACACAAGTATATATTAGAAAATGTTTTTAGTTTATACTCAAAAGAGCTGTGGACAGAACTGACCACCATCCCTATCATCAGGGTTTTCCTGGGACAGCACATGAGCATGCACACGTGCGTGCACACACTCACACCCAAAGTGGTGGGAGCCCGGGTTGGGAGTCTTTTCTCTAGACAGCCCCAGGGTTTTACTTCCTGAGACCCACTCTGTGAGCAGGGCAGGCAGAGAGAGGCCTGGCTCTGTCCAGCCTGTCCTCTGTACCCTTCCTTCAAGACTGTGTGTGGTCTTTCTCTCCAGCTCCTGCTCAAATTCCAAAGCCCTTTAAGAAATGGCCAACACTCTAAACATCCCCCCACAACAGAAAAGTCCAAGGACCCTGCTTTTTTGGGTGGTGGTGTTTGTCCAAGAATCTAGAAGAATCATTGCTCTGATCAATCCACTGTCTCCTGAGTTTTCTTTATTCATGGAACAGGGAATAATTAGGGGGACGGGAGACCTGGTCTGCTTTCTCAAACCATTGAGGGGAGGGGAACACATGCACTACGACCCGAACCCACTTTGGGAGTTGAAGCCTGCTTCCCTTACAGAGGGCAGTGGGAGGAGGGGTGAATGGCCCAGGGGAGGGACAGACCTGCAGACCTGGCCAGCAGCCGGGTACTAGGCAGGGACGGGCTTCCCTAATGAGGGCCTCCCCTTTGCCCCACCTCTGCGTTTAAAATGTTCTAGGGTGTTTGGTTGGTTGGTTTTTAAAGTCAAAGAAAATGGTCAGACTGGCCCCTGTCTCTCTCTCTACAGACTGCTTCACGGACTCTTTGCTGTTGATGTTGATCTCCTGGTAGCATGACCTTTGGCCTTTGTAAGACACACAGCCTTTCTGTACCAAGCCCCTGTCTAACCTCCAACCCCAGAGTGACTGACGGCTGTGTATTTCTGTAGAATGCTGTAGAATCCGGTTTTAGTTTGAGTCTTTACATTTAGAATTTGAAAGGATTTTAAAAAAGAACATTTCTCATGTGCTTTGTAGCTTAAAAAAGGAAAACGCACCATTTCATGCATATTTCTTTTTATTTTGAAATAAACAAACATACACATGAGCACTCGCGTCCCTCCACCCCATCCCAGCATGGTGCAGGCCAGGACACAGCCACACTGGACTTGGTACCTCCCGGGGCTCCTGTGCAGCACACTGCTGGTGGGCACATGCTATGCCTGGCTTTCTAGAAGGCCACCGGCCACTGTACACTCTGCTACCTGTCAGCTGCCCAGACACCACATATACCAACAGGCAGTGGCAGCTCTGCTGTGCCCAACCATACCATCTAACCACACTCATGCCAGGTTTGTATAGAAAAAGCACAGCTCTGGTGGATAGCTGCCACAAAGAACATCTATGGTCTAGAGAAACCCAGTCCTGCGGAAGCAAGCCCCCCCCCCCCAAGCTCCCTTTGTAACTTTCTTTTGTTTTCTTTTTGTTCTGAGTAATCCGCATGTACCAGAGATGCTCTCATGGTATGTGGGGAATGGGGTTGTGGTTTTTTTTTTTTTTTTTCCTTTGACATCTCAGACTGGCCTTGGGGCAGATGCCCTCCCTTGTGTGTGTCCCTTCTCCACCTCTCCTGTTTCCAGTGACCTGTGTTTGCTTTCTCATGTTGGGATGTCTGTGCTGCAGATAAAAAGAACAAAAAAAGTTTTTAAATACCACGAGATGGAAGAAAAAAAATTTTTAAAAGATGGAACGTAGTGTTTACATTAAAGCCAGAGTTTTCATGATCAGTCCTATGTCATTTCTACTTGACTAGTATCTAACCCAGACCTGGTCACAGCTTCACTTTTAAGACAATATTTGCTGCTGACCAGTCACAGCCATTTCAATAAAAAGGCAAAAATATGAAACACAAAAAGTTAAAAATTCAGAAAAAAACTTGAAAAAAATGGAAAAAAGGAAAAAAAAAAGCCCATGGGTCTTTCTAAGCCTTTCTATTCCCAATCGGTGAGGTTTCTGTGATATCTTACACACTGCCAGTCTACTTCTCTGACTAATGGAAAATTCATGTGTAGCTCAATAAAGAGAATGTTTGTCTGTATTCAAGTCTCACATTCTGCCTTCCAGACGATCGTTTCTTGGGGTGGGCTTCACTCTGACAGGAAAGGAGGAACTTGGCCACCCACCCTGGAAAGCTGGTGGGTAAGGAATGCCTTCACGGAATCTTCCATGTCCCTCTTCATTCTGTCACTGATGGAGCAAGTATAGGAGACAGTTGGGAAAGCTGGCGTGTGTGTGTGTGTCTGTGTGTCTCTTTCTCTCACACACACACAAATGAGGGGAGGGAAATGGGCACCTTCCTCCTGCAGTAGTTGGGAAAGCTGCCCAGTGTGTATGTGTCTTCACACACACACACACACACACACACACACACACACACACACGAGAGATGAGGGGAGGGAAATGGGCGGCTTCCTCCTGGATCCAGCTCCTCTTGCTCAGCTGGTTGTTTCTGGTGGGCCTGGGGACTGGGAAGGGAAAAGTGGGGGGAGAACAAGCCACCTCATCTCCTGTCTTCTGTGCCCACAGCTTACCCAGGAGAAAACTTAACAGGTGGTCCCAAGGTTAACCTGACTCAGCCCTCTGGGGCCATATGCACACACAAGCTCAAGGCCAGAGACCCTAGAAAGATTTCCTTAAGTTTTACTTGCCCCATGGTAGCTAGATACCAAAAGGCTTGGCAAGCTGAACACACAGGGAACCAAGACATCAGTTTGAGCTCTTCTGCTATTGGTCTCACTGCCACCCCCACCCACCAACTGTGGCTTTACAGTCAGAACTAGCAGATGGATTGTGACTGGACCTAAGGAATAACAACCAAGATACCTGCCTCATACCCACAGGCCAGTCACTAGCAAGCAGTTAAAAGGCAGTTCCTCCATCTGAGTGAAGTGGGGGAGCCTTACAGGTGTCTGCTTAGTGACATCCCCTCTCAATAGTATCCTCGTGGAAATTCTCAGCTCAGGAAGCCCTCTCTAACATGTGCCTTTGGTCATTTGAATCCAGTGTCTGTGCGTGTGTGTGATGGGAGCAATGGTGGTTCACACTAATGATGTCAAGTCCTATCCCTGCCGTCACTGAGTACCTAGTCAATCCAGGTACTACCTTAAGCCCCCACTGCCAATCCACACCTTTTCCAGTGCTTTACCCACCAACTCCCTTTACCCCAAATTGCTATCAGTAGAGGGGGCCACACAACCTTTATCTGTATGAATGAGGAAGACCTGCAATTCAGTCCACACCTTGACAAGAGTCTCAGAGGACAAACCAAGATCACAGTGAAAGGCCGAAGGAAACCAAGACATTCCTGGCAATTTCAATTTCTCTAAAAATGAGCTACATTCTAATGGAGTTCATTCCCAACTTACTTCAAGTAGGTTTTGTAAACAGAAGCCAGGTTTTTTTTTGTGTTTTTTGTTTTTTTTTGACCTTTCCTCCAGTGCTGAGCACGGAGTTCGGAATGTCATGCATGCTAGGCAAGTCTCTACACACTAAGGCACACCCCATCAATGCCTTCTTTCTCAAAAGGGAGGTCGAGAAGCATTTGGGGAAAGGATGCAGGATTGGCTAGTACAAGCAGCATAAGGCAGAACTTACATATCTTAACACTAAGTAAAACTTCACGTAATTCTGTGCAGCCAGGGCCACTCTGAACCTAACAGAAGGCGTAGGTAGGAAATGGATACTCTAGATAGGTCAGAGGGCCTTCCAGAGCAAACAGGTGAACAGGCACGACTCCTTGGTCAGAGGGCCTTCCAGAGCAGACAGGTGAACAGGCACGACTCCTTGGTCAGAGGGCCTTCCAGAGCAGACAGGTGAACAGGCGCGACTCCTTGGTCAGAGGGCCTTCCAGAGCAGACAGGTGAACAGGCACGACTCCTTGGTAAGCCTCCCATTTACTTGTGCCCGCTTCCTTTCCCATAATTCCAACAGAGGATCAAGCCCACAGGCTACAGACTTAAAAAGCACTGTCAACAATGCTCTAGTGGAAGGTCAGGTCCAGACCACCAGAGCACCTAGGACTCACAGCAACACCGGTAAAGCAAATGCATGAGCCATCATTCTCTCTGAAATTTTAAAGGAAAAATAAAAAATGGCCACTTAGGGAAACAGAGGAACACAGACTAGTTCCAAAATTGCCCAGAAGCCGCTTGGAGCTCTGCTGCTCCAGAGCAGAGTAGAAGTGGGGCCACTGGCCAATCTGCCAGGAGGCAGTGAAAGCCATGGAGAGAGGTTGCCCAGTTTCCCTATCAGTACTTTCACTCAGCACTTGCCCCCTCCCGCCCAGAAGTGATGAAAGCCAGAATGAAGCCTTTTAGAACACCCAGAAGCCTTAGCTGTCTAGATGGTCTTTCTACCACTCTACTCCAAGATATCTGCAGACGGGATAAAATCAAGCATGAAACTGGGACTTCCCTTCCTGGGCCATCTTAAGGCACTTCTGCTTAAATTACTACTGCATCCACATTTTCCAGTGGTTGAGACCCTCTGAAATTGCACACAACTTTCACCTTCACACATCTGAAACATAAAACTATATGGACTTGGTTTCACTTTTATTTTCATGTGCAACATGAAAAGATGAAATGAACACCAGGTAAGAAAAACTCAGTGCTGCCATCTCCAAATAAAGAACCAGGAGAGCAAAATCCCCCAATTCAAAAGGAATAGGAAACCCCAACCCAAATGATAGACACAATAGCGAAATGGGATTCAAGCAGTCCCCTTGGAAAAGCAGCTGCCAGCCACACACCATACTACAAGAGTTTGCTTTTTATTATTATTGTTTTACAATAAAAACAAATAGCTATGCTCTCAGCAAAACAATTTTTTTTAAAAAAATCACAGGAATTAACTAACAGCATTTCCAGGTAAGGCTTTTGAAAGATTTATTGAAATAAATCATCTTTGACTACTCACCTGTCACTCTTCAATTACTTGTCAACACTCTAAAAACTCTGAGTTATGTAAAATACATTTAACTTTGCCAATAACTTTAGATAATACTGGATTCTTCCCAAAATGACTACCATAAACTATGTTTTCAAACATTAAAAAAAAAAAAAAAAAAACTTAATCCAATGGGACGTAAAACTATGAAACCTGTGATTGTGTTTCAAATCCTTAAAGTTAAATATGTGGAGAATTTGAGAAGATTTGGGACCAGGTCTGCCCCAAGGCATGTGGACTATTCAACGTCTTCCTTTCTGTTTTCAATGAGACCCACAGGAACAAAATCAGAAAAAGGAAGGGCTCCACAAAAGACACAAAAGATAGTTCTTTAGCAACAGCCCCCAAAACTATTTATTCCCCCTATGGCAAGGCCAGCACTTTTTCTAAGGATCAGACTCATAGGCTCTAGCACTGCCCAATTTACCAAGGAATTAAAACCTTGCTCAAGGCCTTCCCATGCCCAGAGTAAGCAGGAGTGGGGAGGGAGGAGGAGGGCTGCGGGCAAGCTCATGTGGTGTAGGAGCACCAGGGTGAACAGAATAAAGCCAGCTGTGGATCAGGTTCAGGTCAGTCCTGAATATTAAGGGCAGAAAAGGGTCTCCTTTTTCTGCAGCTCTGGGCTTTCCCTTTCTGCTCCAGGTACCAAATCAGTTCTTTACACATGATGCCCTGCTGGTCCAGAGGTCCAGAAGCCTGCCGGGGCCTGGCCTCTGGAACACTGTGGATGCTTCCTCCCTAAGCACAGCGTTTGACAACAGAATAGTTTCCATGGTGCAGTGAGGCTCCTACTGTGCACCTTCTCGCTGCTGCTGTTATGTATTCCCCAGCACGCATGCTTCCTTCCAGTTGTGGCACCAAGGATGCGAACATCTGTTGTGGCTTACACACAAACCAGAAATTGAAGCTGCTTTCTTACTGCAATGGATGACTGCTTCCTCTTGCTTGTCCCCAACGCCAAGAAATCCAGTCAACACCAGAAGAGATCATGCCTAGACTTAAAATGTGCAGTGTTTCTAAGGGGAAGAGAAACGTCACATAGAAAGTATTACGAAGAAGGATTAAATTTGTCAGCTGTCCAAACACTATTAAGACCACATGCTTTATACAGCGGCAATGCAGTCGAGCCTGTGCCTCCACACAGCAGGCAGAACTGGGGCAGGCCTCTTCCGGATGGCAGGGCTGAGAGGAGGCAGAGGAAAGTAAGGAAGCGCTAGGAAGTCTGCTGCCTCTGAAGTCTCCGCTCAGCAGCAGCAGCCAGCGTTCTCCGGCGCAAGGTCACAGGGTCAGAGGACGTGCCTTCAGAGGGGTGGAGGCTCTCTGAGGCCATGTCATCTTCAGAACTTTTATTCAAGAATCGCCTACAAAAAAAAACCACATGCCATGTGAGAAAACTGGAAAGCCTGGACACATCCAGAACACTGCTGTTTTCAGTTTCCCTTTCCCCAGGTGCCGTCACAAAGCTGTCGTCGAGACCATCCCATGAAAAAGATACCAAGTCCATGGCTGGGTGCAGCTCAGTGGTAGGGCCCTTGTTCAGCATGCATTACCCTGTGTTCATTCTAGAACTGTAAGAGGGCCAAAAAAAAAAAAAAAAAAAAGTGAAAGAAAGAAGGGGCAGGAGGAGTGAAAGGGGTAAAGGAGGATACGGCACAAACTCCTGCTAACAGCCCCCGCAGCCTGACTCCGGGGAGAGGACCATCAAACGGTTGTTCAGCTCCCTTTTCTCTGTCTGTTCCCTTCCTACAGACATAGCATGGGCCCACAGCCACAGGTCTATGCAGGGGCACAAAATCCACTTGGATGAGCTCTGGCTGTCCTCAAGAACTGAAAGAAGCACGTACCCCACCCAATGGAACACTATGCCCCAGCTGCCACCAACTATGGGGAACATGTGGCACTTGGAGCCCTGTGCACACTGCTGGCCTGAAAGCCTGAGTGGTCAGGGAGGAGGTCCTGAAGCAGACCCCCCTGGCAGGGTTAGCTTCTTATCACTTGGGTTAAGTGATCCTTCTCAGAGATGAAGAGAAGTAAGATAATCCATGTACACCTAGGTGCCATCTGACCTGCGACTTATGCCTAGTAGGACTGCAGAATCAACTCACTTCCGTGCTTGCTGTAGAAGGTCGTCCTTCCGCTGGACTAACATGCGCTGTCTCTCATCAGCAGACTTAGAGAAGCGGCTCCCCCGGGCCTCAAAGTCTTCCACTTCACTGGGCTCCACTTCTACCTCACTGAAGTCCAAGGTCTCCTCTAGGCGAGGACTGAGGTCCAGTGGCACACGATCCGCCTGGACAAAGAGGCAGATGTGAGCACACACCTCTCCTTCCCAGGACGCTTCCTCCCCTTGCCAGAAGACCCCTGCACAAGCTTATCCTCAACCACAGGAAGTGGAAACAGGAGACTGGGGCTCTGAAGAGACAAGCCAGCTTATGTGCTGCGATGACTCATGATGTTCACTGTTAGTAGAATAAGCGAATGCCTGCCAGTATTAGACACGTAAGCACTTCCAAACTGAACTCTCAGACTACAACAACAAAGTTAACTGCTAGTTTGTACTCTGAAAATTTTCTGTTCAAGTCTACCAACTGCTTAAAATTTTAACCAAATCTGAGCTGAGCGTAGTGACAAGAGGCAGAGGCAAGCAGATCTCTGTGAGTTTGAGGCCAGCCTGGTCTACATAGTGAGTTCCAGGCCAGCTGGGGCTACAGGAGACCCTGTTTCAAAAAAAAAAAAAAAAAAAAAAAGAAAAAAATTTTAAACAAATCTTATCTACTGCATGAAATTTATACCCTCACTTTGAAAACAGTCAACATGTTAAAAGGGCAAATGCTGAGGATCCTTCATAAAAACAGATTAAGTGGTTCCTTGTGTTAACACAGGCAACGTCTCAGTTTGGGCTGAAGCTCCAAGAGCTAACACAGTATGCATCCAAACATCTGTAAGCAGGCACCCATCTAGCTACACTGCTCCTGCTCTCAGACATGCAGTCCTACATGGGCCAGGGCCAGCCCACCACCCACCTCTAGGCTGCTGAAGAGCTGAGAGGTTATTTCATGTCAGAGTTCCTACTGTGGGTGCTTCTCTCTCTCCCATCCTCACAACTCTTCCTGCCCTCGGCTAAGCCTAAGCACAGACTTTAAGAGAGTCATACAGAATCTAGACCATGTAGCACGTTTAGGATCAGCTTGCCTACCTAGTGATCTTTGTAAGTTAGTGGTGGAGCATTTGCCTAGCACGCATGAGGTCCAGCACCACAGATACATGTACATAACCAAACATATTACATGTGAATTCCTTGCCTTCATTACATTAAAAAAAATTTCCAGAATTATTCACACTAACTCTGAAAACAATTGGGGAATGAAGACAAATTACATGTTGTACCCCCACATGGCCCCAAGCCACATTTCTGCTATCTGAAATCTGAAAATGCAGACACTGATCCCTTTCAGAAATCAAGCAACAGTTTTCAAATGATGCACAATCCAATGATGTTTTTCCTTTCTTTCTTTCTTGAGACCCAGTCCCATACAGGATGGCCCCAAACTCATAATCTTCCTACCTCAGGTTCCTGAGTCTTGGGATTAAAAGTACATACTACCATGCTCTGCTCCAATTACAAATTAGTAACAGATCTGAAAGTTTTTAGGATTTTGTTGTTTGTTTTTATTTTATGTGTATGCATGTATTGCCTGAATGTAGGTAACCGCACCCATATCATGCAATGCCCGCAGGGGTCAGAAGAGGCTGTCGGATCCCCTGGGACTGGAGTTACAGTCAGTTGTTAGGTGCCATGTGGGTGCTGGGATTCAAACCCAGGTCTTCTGCAAGAACATCCAGTGTTCTTAACCGCTGGGCCATCTCTCCAACCCCAAGTTTTTAGTTTTTATATGTTCCTGTTAGCAAGGGAAAACACAAGTGGCCTCCAATCACTTTGAGTGAATGTCGCTGCTTCTAGAAGAGGTCCAGCCCATGCCAGAAAAAAGAGAGCATCAACCCCACTCAGAGCCCTATATGCAGGAAGGCCCAACACTGCCCTGCAGAAACAGAAAGGCAGGGCATGTACAGCTTTTACTTTTGGTCCTCATAACAAAGCACAGAAGTCTAGAAATCAATGAAGCAAACAGAAACTACAGTAGAGAATCAGGAACTGGAATCCAGGTACAGGGTTTGGGGAGGAATGGGCTGCTATAGGGATCCAAGGCAAAGGGGCTATTTTTCCAAAGTGACACCTACAAAAAGCTGGCCCCAAGATAGCCACACTCCCCCAACCCTACCAGGCTCAGGAGGTCTAGTCTTTGTAAAATGCATGAAACTACCTAGAAATCCTGAGTCATTTAAATGAGGGATGGGAAAGGGAGCTCCATAGCCTTGGCTCCCTGTGAAGCATGGCCTGCCTGACCCCATCAGGAATGACTTCCTTCTGCTCTTCCTCAAGCCCAGTGTGGTAGGACTGGGGGCAGATGGGCAGGTGGAGGGTGAAGACAGCGCCTAGGAAGCAGGCACAAGTGAAAGAAAACTTGGGGCAGCTTGATTTGGGACCTCTACCAACAAAAATGATACAGCTTCTTTTCTTTTTCTTTTAGTTGGGGAGAGTTGAGGCAGTGTCATGTAGCCCAGACCAGCCTAGAATTCAATTGTCTAAGCTACACTGGAACTCCTGATCCTTCTGAAATATGCCATTCTATACCTGCCCCAGCTCTAACAAACATCAAGACTGAAGCTGTCTGTTCCAGGGTAACAGATGGTTTGTTTGAATTTGAGATGAGTCTCACAGAGTCATGCTTTCAACACTAGGCTCACAGCTGGTGGCACTGTTTGAAAAGGTTCTGGAAACTGGGCTGTGGGACCTAGGAGTAGGGGTAGGACTTTGAAGGTGATCAGCAGCCCCAGGGTCCTGCCTCCTCTTTGCTTCCTGGCATGGCTCACAGTTCGAGAGGGTTTCAGTCTGTCAAACTAAATGTTTCCCCCTTCAAACTTCTTGATGTCAAGTATTTTGGTCACAGCAAGGCAAATGTAATTACTACATAAGGACACTACCTTCCACAGTCCACACACCTCTCTCTAGTGAGCTGCTCTTACCTGAGAAGAAGTTTCTCCCTCTTCCTGATCAGTGCTGGGCCTTTCCACTGGGCTGTTCAGTGCAGGTCTAATGCTATCTGACCGCTGAAAGAGAGAACAGCATTCATTCAGAATGAAGCAGCATGCAGAGAAAACCCAGGACATGGAGCAGACAACAGTCCTCAACACAGCTCACAACTTTAACCAAGTCTACAGCACCAAAGAAATTAAAATACTTTAAGATTTAAAGGTGAAGCGGGGCTGGAGAGATAGCTCAGTGGTTAAGAGCACTGGCCTGCTCTTGCAGAGGGCCTGGGTTCAATTCCCAGCACCCACATGGTGGCTATGAACTATCCTTAACTGCTCTTAACTGCTGTCAAATCCAGTTGTCATGCCTCTTCTGACCCCCACGGCATTGCAGGACACGACACGGGCGCACTCACATACATACAGGCAATGCACTCATACACATAAAATAAAAATAATAAATGAAATATATTTTTTCAAAAAAAAAAAAAAAAATAAAAAATATTTTTTTAAAAAAAAAAAAAAAAATAAAAAATATTTTTTTAAAAAAAAAAAAAAAAATAAAAAATATTTTTTTAAAAAAAAAAAAAAAAATAAAAAATATTTTTTTAAAAAAAAAAAAAAAAATAAAAAATATTTTTTTAAAAAAAAAAAAAAAAATAAAAAATATTTTTTTAAAAAAAAAAAAAAAAATAAAAAATATTTTTTTAAAAAAAAAAAAAAAAATAAAAAATATTTTTTTAAAAAAAAAAAAAAAAATAAAAAATATTTTTTTAAAAAAAAAAAAAAAAATAAAAAATATTTTTTTAAAAAAAAAAAAAAAAATAAAAAATATTTTTTTAAAAAAAAAAAAAAAAGATTAAAGGTGAAACAAAGGAGCCCGAGGAGAGTTAGCAAGTGGCTCCACATTCAGCTTCCTCTTCAATAACAGTAACTGCACAACAAAAACAACAGCTGTCAACAGGACAAAGAAACACACTATGTGTTAACCTTCCTCACGTGCTATGAAGCAGGCACTGCAATTATTCTCCCTTCAGCCAGTGGATCTTGGCCATGGCTGCTGTTGCTCTGGGGTCCTGACCTTATACCTTCAAGTCTCAGCACCCCACGCCTGCTGCCCAGTTTGGGACCTTTACCAAAGGTTTTCCTTTACCACAGTGAAACTGTGTTTCACTGACAACTTTCTCTAGCCACATCAGGCAACTGTGCCACCTCCAAAGGCAGTCAATGGCCAAGTAATTGAGACCTGAGGAACCACAGCTAGCACCTCAGCCAGCTGACTCCACACTTGTCGAGTTTCAGTTCTTTAAATTTTACTGACAGATTTCTGTACATTTGTGCAGGCTAGACTTGTAACTTGGTAGATTATTCCCTGCCTATATAGAAATTCCTCTGTGCTACAGAAGGCTCTTCTGTGTTAAGCCATCTTGTACCCATCAAATAGAACAGGTAATGAGCCAGAAACTTTGACTTTTTAAATAGAGTCTGAAGTCCAAACCTCAGAGGGATGTAAACTATATCTAATGGACACCATAGCAATATATAAGGCAAACTAGTGTCAAAGACCCATAAACCATAGCCCCAGGACCATGTACACCCTTCCATGGATTTCTGAAAACAACATTTCACTGGACTACACTCTTGCTTATTCATGTATATGCTGCCAGTGGCGGCTTTGGTTGCAACAGACTGTGCAACCCATGGAGCCTCAGTATTCAACTCTCTGCCCTTGACAGAAAAAGATGCTGACCTTGGTCTGACAGGAGCCAATGTCATCACCTCACAGAGCTGCATGCAGCAAGGGCAGGCTGGTTTGGAGTATGTATCTGTATGAAAATTACCCAAATAAACCTGTCTTTCCCTTTGGTGAGTCTCATGCATAATTTGGGCAAAATGAAGGAATTTGCAGAAACCCTTTCTCAAATCATAAATATTCAGGAGTTAGGATTAAATCTTTGTGAAAACAAAACCCATTTGTCATGTTTAAAGCCCCAGCTATACCTGTGTGGGAAAAGGTACTTGAATCCGTCCTTCTAAGATGTTGTCTGTTGTTATTTCCACGGAGCGTGTCAACTGGAGGTCCTGAAGCACAAGGTGATAGGGCACCTGGGGGAACATCTCTTGAATCTGATGAGCCTGGAGGAACACAGAGAGCCCACAGCAAAGGTCATCCCTGGCAGTGCTCAGAGATTACTACACATGGCAGGCCCTGGGCATGGAAGGTGACATCATGCCTTGACAGCACAGGTAAAAGGTCACTGCAACTCAGCAGATCACCTGCACACTACATTGTTCCAGGGTACCAAACCTCTGCGGAAAACAACAATTTTAAGACAAAGACTGAAGAGAAATATAGTGGGATCCCAAGACAGGTTCAAGTAGAATCTTCTAGTTTTAGAACAGGCTATTTGGACACAAACATGTATGACATTCATATCCATCATGCGACATGAAAGAAGCCTGAGTCAAAAGCCCTACTATGATTCTGTTAGATGACATCTGGGAATAGGCAAAACGATAGGGAAAGCAAAACGATTGGTGCGTAAGGCTGGGAGGATAGCTCAGTGGAACATCTGACAGCATGCAAGAGGCCCTGGGTGGTGGAGGAAGTGACTTCAAAAGGACACAGTGGAACCTGGGGAGAGAAGGGCTAGATCTGCTCTGTATTAGGGTGATTACTACACAACTGTGTAGCTGAACTGGAGATTAACTAGGGCACATCTTTACTGTCTACAAATTATACTGTAACTTGGAAAAATATAGCTTAAAAATGCAAATTTCTAGCCCAGCATGGTTGCATGCTGTCTATACTCCCAGTACCCAGAGACAGAGGCAAGAAGATCCACAGTTCAAGGCCAACCTGGGCAACATAGTAAGACTACGTCTTGAAAAAAAAAATTTTTTTTTAATGAAAATGTCTAATATTGCCTTGGCACTACAGTATTCAAACTATACCCTATATCCATCTCAAAAGTCCACTTAGGGTTTTAGGCATGTATATACAGGAGACATGGACAAAGGTCTAGGTATTATCCATACTTTCATCCAAGAAGCTTAAGGTGTGTATTGTTATTTTGGGTATAGATTTTACAATGCTTGCATTCTAGGCTTTAATTGTAGAAAAATCTATGTAATTTATAAAAGAGAAAAGAAAGAAAAAGGAAGGAAAGGGGAAAGAGGCAGAAAAGATCACTGCTTTGGGGAACAGTGAAAGAATACTGGGGGACTAGCTCTGACGGAACACACTGAGATAAACTCCTCGATGAAAGCTATGCACCTCAAATTAGGACCTTGAAAGAAAGATCAGGTCGACACTGTCCAGACCTTTGCTGAGAGTCACCAGGAAGTAGAAACTGGCAGGGCCCAGAGGCCCCAAGGCTCCATATCACTGTTCATGATGAGTGGATCATTTTCAGCCCAAGTTGAATCAAAGTTAACTGGGAAGAGACTATACACGGAGAAAATGTTTCTCTTCTCATATAGTTCCCTGGCCCCAATTTAAAAACAAAAAACAAAAAACCAGAAACAGGGTGGGGGCAGGAGTTTAATTTTAATTAAACTAAAGTTTATTAAACTAAAAATTTTAATTTTATTAAAATAAAGCTTTCCTACCAGAAAGTCCTAGTTAAACATTCTAGTTTTTAAAAATGCATGGTTCTAGTAAATTAGTTGTACTAAAACCAGTCTATTTCAAACCATCAAAGAACTGGAGAACAGGTGGAGCCTGCCAAAGAATTTGAATTATACCAATTCCCTTTCTGGAGGGTGACATCCCCTGGAATGTGGCTGCTGCAGGCTAGCAAGGTTTTCCACTGATTGGGTTTCGCCCTCAATGAGCCTACCCTCAACAAGCCCTCCAGTGGCCTCACTGGGCCATGCACTCCAGGGCACCTATGCCCACCATGGTGCCTCTCCTACTTGGCCAAGCGCCAGGCTGAGACTCTTACAGAGAAAGCACAGTCTGCAGGAGTCACGTCTTCTCTTTCCATGTTTACTATAGTCAAAAACCATTAATCACCTATAAGTTTATACTGTAGCCATGCAACCAATGCACTGTTGTGCAACGGATACAGAGAGCTTTTGCAACTTGTACAGCTGAAACTCTGGACCCCCGGAAAAACTCCCCATTTCCTTCTCACCTTACCCAACAACCCCATTCCACTGTTGGATTCTGACTGTTCTAGAGAGCTCATATGAGTACAGTCATACAGTATTTGTATTTTGTCACTGGCTTATTTCACTCGGCAGACTGTTCAAGTCTCTCCAGAGTGTAATGTGCCAGAATTATTATTTTTTTTTTTGAGGCAGAAGGATGTTTCATTGTATATGCATGCCACCTTTTCTTTCCCTGTTCATTTTCGGCAGACATTTACATTGCTTCTGCTTCTTGCCTACTTTAAGCCAAGCTCTTCTTTTCCAGTCACATCCCAATACTCTGTTTGCAGCTATATCCGTGCCTCCTCCTATCAGCAAAGTCCTCTTCCTGCCCTGCTCCCATCCCCCACTCCACCTCAAGGATATAGAAGTGCTCAGTCAACACTTCTATAGGTTCTATACCAACCTCTGCCCCTCCAAAGATCATTCCTGGGCTGGTAGAGCATACCTTAATTCCAACACTCAGGAGACTGAAGCAGGAGGATCATGAGTTCAAGGCTAACCTTGACTAGTGAGACTTTGTCTCAAAAAAAAAAAAAAAAAAAAAAACCAGAACAAAAATAAAAAGGCTAGGGGTGTAGCTCTGCAGCAAAGCACTTGCCTAGCAAGCCCAGAGCCCTTGGCTTAATCCAGCAAAACAGAAATAGAAGGGAGGGGAAGAAAGGGGGAGCCCTTACACACACCTAATACCCAAGACTGTCCTCCAGGAGCTCCATCAAGGTCCTGCAGGAAATCACTGAGAAACATCACCTCCTACTTCCAGCAAAGGAGAAACTTCCCAGGGCACCACCTGCTTTTTAGCAAGGTCTGCTCTCGGGAGAACCCAGTAACCCTGCTGGGCTTTATCAGAACACAGCTGACTAGGGGAAGAAAATTACCCACCTCTACCAGGCTCTAGCCTCTTTAACTCCAGCCCTCTCCAGCCATTCAGTCCCCTCTAAGGTTGAGGGCACAAGGCTGAGAAGCATTGAGACATCAGCGGCCCAGGGCCTCAGGCTCACCAGCTAGGACTTAAATCCCCAGAAGACAGAATACCTCTATACACCTTACTGAAGTTAATTTTACTGCAGTCCCTTTCACATAGTATCACAGTACATCATGTTTGGCTATCAAGAAAAAAAAAAAAAGTAGACTAAACGACAGCACAACCTGAAGAGACGTGGCAGAAATTATCAGGTTGGGCATTTAACTTTACCCATTAGAGCCCTTAGTGTCTATTCCAAGTAGATGGCATGAAAGAACAGATGAGTGATGTGGGCAAAGAGAGCCAGAAGTCCTCAAGAAAAGCCAAAAGCAACACTGAAGGGCAAACCCACTGGAGCAGAAATGCAGGCTGGCCTCAGCTGCATGGAGAACCTCTGGGCTTGATATATTACCCGAAATATTATTTGTTTTGGAACCAAAACAGGTAAGGCTGAAAACAGCAGCAGAGTACTGAGGACTGAGAGGCGACTACACAAGAAGAAAACGTGCAGAACGAAGAGACTGAGGAAAACAAGAAAGCACTGACAAGCACATCAGACCATGACTGAGGCCTTCCCCCAAATCTGTGTCAGGCACCAAAGGACAGATCCAGAAGGCTCAGAACTCCGAGCAGGAAAACTGCCGAAAAGTAAATAAAAACAAAACTGCCCAGGCATACCATTTCCAAGCTACAGAAAATCGAAGGGGAAAAAACCCAAAGCCCTTGGAAGAAGCCAGAGGGGAAAACAGCTCACCTAGAAAGAAGCACAGACAAGAACTGCAGCCAACCTCTTCAGAAATCAGACAAGAAAGTGAAACCTTTAAAATGCTGAGAGGACAAGCAAAACAAGACAACCACCACCTCACCACCTAGAATTCTGTACCCTGCTAAATTATGCCACAGAACTAAAGGGGAGGAAGCCACGAGCACTTCTGTGCAAGCATGAAGATCTGAGTTTGGATCCGAGCAACCAATAAAAAGCCAGGCATGGCTGCCTACATCTGTAACCCCAGTACTGTTGGGTCAGAGTCAGGACCGCTAGGGCTTTCTGGCTGCCTGTCGACCTCCAGAGTCAGTGACAGATCCTCACTGTCTCAGGGGAGTAAAATGGAGAGTGGTAGGGCAGGATACCTGATGTCCTTCTTTGGCCTCTGCACACCTACAGGCATGAGCACCACCTGCACACACATGCGTATACATACTCAAATAACCTAAAAGAGAACGAAGAACTTTCTCTCACCAAAAACAAACAAAAAACTGAGATATATGTTACTTGTAGACCTTCTTTGCAGGGAATGTTAAATTTTAAATTGATATGGGCCAGAAACTCAAATCCATATAAAGAATGGAAAAGCACCAGAAGAAATAAGTGAAGAAAAAGCAAAACCGATTTTCTTACTCTTAATTGATCTAATGGACAGCAATTTGTTCAAAATAAAAACAGCAACAATGAAGACATGCCCTGGCACAGATGAATGAGCAATGAATACACAGGGAGAAAAAAAATTCAGACTCGATGATACCACCGGCTACTCAAACTACTAGTGTTATCTGAAAAGGAACTTGGATTACCCATATATTCTAAACTCTGAAGCAACCACTAAAAAAATAAAGTATACTGATATGCCAAGAAAGTAGAGGAAATGAAATCATGTAACCTGAACCTACAATAGAGAAAAAGAGAAGACAGAAATAGGAATTAAAAATGGGAGCAACAGAGCCAGACAACCTGATCTGAATACACCAATCACAGCAGTTAAGAGACAGGGACGTTGCTGTGGTGCTGCCCGCCTGGGAGAGGCAGAGGAAGCAGGAGTTATTCTAGCTTGTTTCTCCATTGCTGAGATTAAAAACATTGACCAAAACCAACTTGGGGAGGAAAGGGTGTATTTCACCTTCAGCTTACAAAGTATCATGGGGGAAACCAGGGCAGGAGCTCAGGGCAGGAACTGAAGCACGGACCATAGAGGAATGCTGCTTACTGGCTTGCTTGGCCCGTTCAGCCTGCTTGCTTATA